TACCCCCCCACCAAAAAACCAAAAAACCAAAAAAGCCACTCCCAATTACTACTATAACTACCGTTTGAATTTTTCCCTCCCTCCTCTTTCATCATATTAATATCTCCTATTCTCACCTTTCCTCCCCCACCCTCACTCTTAAAAGGCTTAGAAATGCTGTGACTAAACCCTTGACCGTTGTTGTCGAAAGGAAAGTTTTTCAGATCTAGCCATTACATTAACACCTCAACCATTCTTCCCCAAACTGCTATCAACAACAATCATTTTGCCTTTATGTAGTTTTTTATTTTCTATTTTTTTCAAATAAATGGAAAAAAAGGAATTAATGTTTCACATGCTTACAAACAAAATTGTTCTTAAACATTTTGGTTCTCACCTGTCGAAGTGCACTTTAACTGCACTGAAACGAAGTTGCATCTTTGTAATGAGTAAATTGTTTTTGTCTATATGAAAAATTATATAAAAATTATATATATATATATATATATATATATATATATATATATATATATCAACACCATCACTTGACAAGGCACCAGTAGTGTCGAAACAAAATGGCAATTCTTGTAGTGATGTCATAACATGCTCATGTTATAATTCTTAAATAAATATTATTCGATCTACTTTTTATTGGGGACTTTTTAAAAAATAGTGGTTTCGGTTATTCTTAGAATTTTATGCCATTTATACCAACGATGTATTCGTGTATGTATATATATATATATATATGTGTGTGTGTGTGTGTGTGTGTGTGTGTGTGTGTGTGTGTGTGTGTGTGTGTGTGTGTGTGTGTGTGTTTAGGCAGCAATACCACTTTTATACAAGTTTAATGACGACTGACAAGGCTCTGCAATTAAGATTTTTATTTAATTTGTCTTGTGTTCGTAAAAGCGTTTTCTTTTCTGGATATGAAATGTGTAAAAGTTGTCCAAATTTTCTATATATCCGAGTGCTTTTGGCTATTCTAATCGGCATTATCAAAGATGCGTTCTTTGGGTTTTTTTTAACTGAATGTCTAGAAATTTTTTATATGTTTCTAGAGTGATGGGAATGTTTTATTATTTTACAAACACGGTCAACACATTATGGCCGTGTTCATAGTTAATATTATTAAGTGTTGGCTTTTTCATTTTTATTAATAATGCTTCCATTATTTTTAGTCTTTTTTACATGTGAATGAGGCTATTATACTTGTATTTTCTGCAAGTATATTACGGGTGGAGTTTGGTAAGTTTCCGTGTGTGTTTGAATGAGTCCTAATTGAGCTGTAGTCAGAGAAGTGTAACGTGGGCCTTCTCAATAGGCATGTAGTGGTATGTCCAGTATAATTATTTATGAATTTGGTTTCACCAGGAACTCAGTTCCTTAAGGGGCATGTGAATTCATAAATAATATTGGTTCTCTGTGATTTTGATCTTGCAGGTGTGTTGTTATTGTTGATGATGAGGTTAGCTGTTTTAAATTTTTTCATAGTAGATAATTTAATTTTCTTGCTCTGGTCGACTGACGTTGTGTATTTCTTTATAATGTTTCTAAATGAACATTCATCTTTCTTATAGTTAACGTGTATTTGGCTTTTACAGAAATGTTAATGTTATTGTTTTTATCTGCATGTTCAGTATTGCTATCGGTTACCTTAGAAAGAAATAGGCTAATCTGGTGATCGATGGGGTAGTTCGGAAAACCGTTGTTAACTAGCGCATGTTACACATTATTGTGTTCTTTAAGAAAAAGAAAACGAGAGAATGAATTCTCCTGCACTGTCTTATGGAAAATTTTTATTACGCCTATTCTATATCTAAGTGGACATTCGCTATTAAAATTAAGGTGGCAAAATTTTCTACTTGTGATTTTTTTTTTTTGTATAACAAACTAGTGAATGTGTTACTACTGAATTTTACGTGAACGTTTAAGAATGGGAGTTTATTATTTTGATTAAGTTCAAATGTAAAGTTAAAGGCAGAGTTTTTTTCAAATGTGGTTTTGAGATTGTCAAGTTTTTTGTTTTCAGGTAAAGTAAAATATTATCTGTATAGCGGACATATATTTGGGGTTTAGTAACTTTTTGAAATATCTTGTTTTTTACGTGAGACCCGAAAAGAAAAACACATGCGAAGACAAGAATGTTTTTAAAAAGCTTAATCGCAGTATCTAATCAGTTATCTTCAGTAAAACTTGTATATATATATATATATATATATATATATATATATATATATATATATATATATGAACATACACACATATACATATGTAATAAACATGCAATGAACGCGTATTATTATTATTAATATTATATATATATATATATATATATATATATATATATATATATATACACAAACAAACACAGATATATATACTTTAAAAATCAGGAACTCAAATATAACACGCGACCATTAACGTTTTATTACAAAAAACATAAAGAACGCTACATAATTATCTTTCAAAAAATAAAGGAAGATGAAGAAAGATTGTCTTTTTTGGAAGGTAATTATGATTATGTAACGTTCTTTGTGTTTTTTGAAATAAAGCATTACAGTAGTCATTTTAATTGTATCGCACGAAGAGACCGTCAGGTCGAAATCATGGTCGCCTATTTTAATTGACCTTCTGATTTTTAAAGTTATAAGCTCTAAATGTTATTTTTATTTTTACTTGTATTTTTTCTCTAGCGTGTATTAAGCACTTTTTAATACTATTGTTTCTTGATCTGATTCAACTCTGACCATTAACCTTATAATATATATATATATATATATATATATATATATATATATATAGTGAGTGAGTGTAAAGTGAGAAAACAACAAAAGGACAAGTAAACACGATATTCTACACATACGCGCATCTGAGTGTGCATGTGTGTGCACGCGCGTGAATGCACACGCACGCACACACACATACACTATGAAAAAATATCTTGCACCAATGAAAAGTGCATATAAAAAAGAAAATTCGGCAAGTATAAGCAGTCAATTGCTGATAACTTCTGACGAGTGGACAGAGTTATTCCCGGACGGTCCGTCTACGAAACTCTCGAGTCGGGATGCTGAAGGTAACATCAATCAGCTAAGTGACAGACCTTTTACTTGTGTTTATTTTATGTATGTATGTATGTATGTATTCGTAAGCAATTAAGGGATTGTTTTATAATTCGACATTGTTATATTTAGTGAGTACACGTATTTGAGGAGACATCAATATTTGTAAACGCTATAAATGACGTCATTTTATGGAAACGAACTTCAACTCTGCTAAGCCTTTTGTGACTGACCTGTCTAATGCACATTTGACCCCCCCCCAACACCAAAGGACGCAGAAAGCAGCATTTCCTTTATGAAGACATGTATTTATTTCCAGGCCGATAGACGCCAATTACAGTATCTTAAAAAAAGAACAGGGATTTCTATTTAAAGACGTCTACCCATAAAATATAGCGTAATAAGAACACTTGATATTATATATATATATATATATATATATATATATATATATATATATATATATATATATATATATATAGTTTAGTATAGTGAATCTTTACTAATTACTAGTACAATCAATCCTCATGGGGTACACCACAATTCGAGCCTTGTGACAAACAAATCTATACTTAACAAATATCTTGCGTCTCGGCTTCAATCACTTTCCCACAGCCGTAAGGCTGCCTTCCTGTGCCTTTTCTATAAATACTTTCATAGTAATTGTTCGAATGAGCTTGTGCCACATCCTGCCTCGTGGGGAGGTCGGGTAAATACCGGCTCGTCGCTATGGTACCTAGACTTTAGACTAGAATTTAAGCGTAGATCGGCGGCAAGGTCACCTCATTTTACAGTTATGACTAGATGTAAACATAAGTTCTATGGTAACAATTTCTTTTCTCGCACTTCTGGATTGTAGAACTCCCTTCCGGCTGCATGCTTTCCAGCCAACTTTAATCTTCAAAAATTTAAATGCAATGCCAATCGCTATCTACTCCCCACTTTGTAACTCTTCTTCTGTACTCGGTCCTTGGTGATGTTTCTGTTTTCAAATTCTTCCACATCCAGTAACCCTTTGTGTCTGAGTGGCTTTAATGCCTTACTTGGTGTAGACTTGATTAAAAATAAATCCTCATTTAGTTGATTGAACTTTTACTACTTACTAATGCAATCGATCCTCATCGGGTACGACTCAGTTGTAGCATTGTGCCAAATTAAGCTAAACTTAGTAAATATTTGTGTGGAAATTGTAATTAGTCTAGTTAAACTTTAGTACTTACGAGTACAATCAATCCTCATTGGGTACCCAATAAATATGGCCTTGTGCCAAACTAAGCTAAGTTTAGTATATTGGCGCAGACACTATCAAGCTATCTTCACAGTTAACCGAGATGAGTTCGATCCTTACATTTTACAATTTTGTTTTTAAAACATTTTCCTCATAAAATATATTTTTTAATGTCGGAAATTTTTTAAAACATCAATGTTATTGATCATCGCTACTTTACATCAAAATATTATCACCAAATCATTATTGATGCAGCAATAATCATTATCCTGATCACATCTAAACAATCGATTGAATGCCATTCTGTTTGATATCCGAAAACTATTGTATCCATGTCCGGCACTAGTTGTAACTATTTAAGATGACGGGGGTAATGGCGCCTGTTATGGTGTTAGTTGTCGTCTGATAAGAAAAGCAGCGCTGCTAACGCCTGCTGCAGTTGCTGTTGTAGTTGTTTTTGTTATAGGTTTCCCACTCACCATACAGCATGAAAATGAATTTTAAAAAAAGCCAATTTTCCACAAGTCCCTGTCGCTGCTGCTGTTGCTGCAGTAGTCGTTGTCGTGGTACAATGGAGGCGTGCAAGAGCTAAAAATAGTGATAGTAATAAACCAATTTATAGATCACTTGTCGCGTTACAATCTTCAAAAACTACTCCCCGGTGAATTACCCAAGTACTATGCTATATGATTCTTCAATAAAGTTAGCTTACTGAGCCACAAGGCTGATTAGAAAAGGGAATAGTGTGTTATAGTGGATGTCGACGTTCCAGCAGACCAGACATAGTCATTGTAAATAAAGAAAAGAAGATATGAGAGATAGTAGATGTCACCGTTAAAACAGGTCATATCCTGGCACTTTAAAAAAAATATGTGAGAAAGTCAATGTCACAGTTCCAAAATGTCATACCTTGTTTATAGGATAGGGGAAGTCACCGTTAAAGTAGATTTTACCTCGCCATCGTAAACAAAGAAAAGAAGATCTGTCAGATAGTGGATGTCCCTCATTGAAACAGACCATACCTCGTCATCGTAAACAAAGAAAAGAAGAGCTGTCAGATAGTGGATGTCCCTCATTGAAACAGACCATACCTCGCCATCGTAAACAAGGAAAAGAAGATCTGTCAGATAGTGGATGTCCCTCATTGAAACAGACCATACCTCGTCACCGTAAACAAAGAAAAGATCTGTCAGCTAGTGGATGTCCCTCATTGAAACAGACCATACCTAGCCATCGTAAACAAAGAAAAGAAGATCTGTCAGATAATTAATGCTGCCGTTCCAGTGAGCTGGCATAGTCGAAAAAAAACAGCTAAAATGTTGGTCAAACAAATTTGAAAAGAAGATAAGTAAATGACTGTAGCACATCATCTCACACCATAGTGCAGTGGTCTTAATGTCCATAACTTTTGACGGACGTGCAAAGTACCTGAAAACATATTTAAAATGATGGGAAGAATCGAAAATTCGATTAAGAATAAAAACTATCCAGAGAAATGCATTATTAAAATCACTTGGGATAATGAGGAAATTTCTGGAGAGCTCAAGATGCTTAGTCTACACCAAAAGTCGCAGTTATTTCTTCTGTATAAATTTAACCGTAATAATAATAATAATAATAATAATAATAATAATAATAATAATATACCCACAGACATAACATGATAGCGACATATGTGCACTGAAAGATATGCAAGAAGCACAAAATCGAAACCACTGAGAGATGTTATGAGCACCAACCAGACACAGTTACACAAAATAACAATGTAACTCTCCTCTGGGACATGCCAAAACTAACAGAGAAATAAAAGCCAACAGACCTGATATTATTATAAAAGACAAAAAATTCAGAAGTGAATGTTTATCGACATAGCAGTACCATCTGAGAAAAACACCTGCATAAAAATTATCGAGAAATTGTCCAAATACAAGGACCTGGAAATCGAGATTAACAAGATGTGGGGAATGAAGACTGAGACTGTACCGATAGTAATCGGAGCTCAGGGCCTCGTGAGAAAAGGAATGGACAATTTTACTAACAGTGTCCAAAGTAACATCAACATACAAATTGACCAGAAAATAGCTAAGCTAAAACATACCATATACTAAGAAAAGCGTTATCAATTAAATGACAATTCCCATATAGAGCCTAAGGATTATAGTTTGAGCCCGGCTCTCCAGGATACAGATCAGAAAACATGACACACAAACAATAATATGATAATAATAATAACTAGAAATACGCCTGATAATTTCACGGTTTTGCTCTTTGAATTTTCTGAAGAATCATAATTCTTAGGTTAATGACGGAGTAAGCAACAGAAGATCAAGCGTCTGTTATTTATGGCCGATCTGAAACTATTTGCTAAGGAAGAAGCCCAGATCAGTTCATTAGATGACACAAATTATTACTTCCGACCGGGCATGTACATGAAATTTGGTCTTAAAAAGTGTGAGGTTGTTATTTTTGAGAAAAAAAGAAAAGTGCATGGCTTTAAAACATAGAATTGCTGCCAGGGTGAACAATTGGTTATTAATGCCGACAAAATTTTTATTACTGGTATTTTTTAATTTTTTTTTCCAAAAATGTATTGCTGGTAATATTTTTGTCTTTCAAAAATATATTTCTGGTAATGTTTTTTCTTCAAAAAATTATTGCTGGTATTAAAACCTATTTTTACACTTTCATACTGTATTGATCCCAGTTTGGGGGTTAACTATTTGCTCATATTTTCCTTTAACGGTGACATCCATTATCCGGCAGATCTTCTTTTCTTTCTTTACAATGAGGAGGTATGGCTTACTTTAACGGTGACATCCATTATCCGGCAGATCTTCTTTTCTTTCTTTACAATGAGGAGGTATGGCTTACTTTAACGGTGACATCCATTATCCGGCAGATCTTCTTTTCTTTCTTTACAATGGGGAGGTATGGCTTACTTTAACGGTGACATCCATTATCCGGCAGATCTATCTTCTTTTTCATTCTTTGCGACTTCCTTCAGCCATTTTTTCAAAGACTCTTCACACGAAAAGATTTTTCCACTTTTCTCACAATCTGTGTGAAAAGAGCAGCATGACGCAATTCACTCCACCAGAAATTTAGAAATGACACGCTTTACTGCTTGGCATTCGCACCGGAAGCTCTAATACGAACATTTTAGAGCTTTTGAGTGTCAATCTGACGAGGGTGCAGAGGATTTGGAAAGAGTTGGATGTTATACCCAGTCAACATCATGGTGTTTGGAATGATCACTCGTGATGGAAACGTTATACCTCCATTCATCTTCACACAGAGCCTCAGACTCAACACAGAGGCCTACATAAAGTGCCTTGAGGGGGCACTGCTGCCGTCGGTCAAGAGGGTGGCTACTAGAAGACCCTTTATCTGGCAACAGGACTCTGCGCCATGCCACGCAAACCTAGTCATGGCTCTCAGACAATTTCTGCGACTAAATCACCCCTTATATCTGTCCATCTAACTCCCCAGATTGCAACCCCCTTGATTATTAAGTGTAAGGTACTGTTGAGCAAGAGACCAACAAAACTCCTTGTAGCACCAAAGATGAACTGCAAAAAAATTGCAGGAGATTCCGAAGTCGTCTGGAGACCGTAGTTGAAGACAATGACGATTTTATTGAATAAATTTACTCTTTAGTGTTTCTAGATATTTTTGTGTAATTTTGGTAAATATATCCTTTAAAATGAGATGTCAGTGTTATTTTCAGTTTGAGTAATTTAGACGACAATTTATCCATCGCACCCTCTATTGGAGAAACCTCAAGAGGTTTAAATAAAAGATCATATGAACACAAAAGGGTTATTGAAAACACATTAAATGCATTAGCTGTTCAGCGTAGCGATACTGACCACAACTTTGATACAAAATATGATGTTCTAATTAAAAGAGAAAACAATTCACTAAGACGAAAATGTTTAGAAAGCGCTTTAACTGCCAGATCAGCTGCAGTAAATTTGCGTTCAGGGTCTTACAACGATTCACCATTCTTGGCAGATCTTCTGTTATCACAATGTGGGCCATTTAATAACAAAAATGATGGGAAAAGAACCTTGTCGGAGTTAGCTCCTCCTTAATTCCCTAATTGTCACTAAGAGGCGCTCTCCTCACACTATAACTACTGGGCGACTTCTTGCCTCGTTCTCTTTTTCATTTTCGTCATTTCGGCGAACACCTCTACAATGTGATCTCTCGCAAAAGATAGCGTTTCCCACTTGTGGGAAGACGCCATGAACATTATACACACATACACGTACGTACGAACATTCACCAAAGAACAAACACAGATGTTCACACACAAACACAAATGTTAATGTCTTTTTCACTTGTAAATTTGTTGTTTGATACATACGTTTGTTGTATATATATATATATATATATATATATATATATATATATATATATATATATATCGGTCTTGTTTGTCTTCATTTTATTTTCGGTTGGACACAACTAGAGTCCACCATTTTCTTGTAGTTGGACCTTCTTCTAGCAGGAATAAATAGCACGTGTTTCTAATTTAACAACACTCAAAACCATACAGTCCTCTACAACCTAAATGAAATTGGCTAAATTATATGCCCAAAACACATATATATAAAATAAAATACTATTTTAAATTTAGAATTCCCAGCATCTCTCGTTCGTGCGCATGTGTAGTCGCATCAACATAAACAAAACTATACACACACACACACACATATATATATATATATATATATATGTCATTCGCAGACAGTACTGTTTCGCTGTATCACAGCTCCTCAGTGCGACTAGACAAACGAATGCCTCAAGCTCGGATCGAAAGCCAACCGATTTGGTATTAATCACAGCTTCTACCACTGAGCCATCTTCACTCGACAGAATGAGTCAGCCAAATCTAGCGTATTGTTCTTCCAAACGTAAACAAACGTCAAGCAGCCATAGTGCTCCATTCATTTTACTAAAGTGCTTCACATTTAAAATACCGGAAACAACCGAAACGTAATGTTCGAAATAAAAAGTTGAGAATACTCGTTAGGGTCATCCACTAAATTACTGCACCGGCTGTTAGGATAATTTCATTTGAAACAAAGAAAAGAAAGATGAACTGCTATGTCATATCTGTCATCCTATATGGCAGCGTATCTCAAGTGGGGTTCCCCGGAACCTTAAGGTTTTACAAAAGGTCTCCAAGGGTTCTGCGAGAATAGGTGAGATAAGATAATGCACTTTTGACTTTGCATTTAATTCTTGATTTACCTTATGTCTTTTCAACATTGCCAATAAAGAGTAAAAAAAAAATTTTGTGTGAATGAAAACTCCTTGTTTTAGTATTATAAACGAACAGTATGAATTTTATTTAATTACCGAAAAATGTGGCAAAGAAGTATTAACTTTTCGTTGAAGCAGTTATTCAAAAATATATACTATGATATTTACCACGTAAACTACGATGAAAATAAAGTGAGAAAGATGTGGTAGATAATTCTGTTTTTGCGCAGGGGTTCCTCGAGACACGTAACTTATTTTAAGGGTTACGCAAGGGTAAAAAGGTTGAGAAACGCTACTATATGCCAATGAATGCTGGACAATTTCCTCACACGTGAAAGCCGGAGGTTACAAGTCTGAATTCAAAAGAAGCGTCGAATTGAGAGAAAATTGCGTTACACCAATTTCCCGTGTGATTAGGTCCTGCCTGTCTACAAAATCAATATTTAAAATCTTAACTTTTACTTCGTCGCAATCACCGAATTAGGCATCAGTAGAAAATGCGCAACCCTTTCAGCCATGAGACAGGTCACTTAAATGTTATTTACTAATCTTAGACTAGCCTGGTACAAGAACACAATTATGCTTACTCGTTGCGTATACTACTGAATTGGTCACTGAGATAAACTTGTCATCCATCAACTTGTGGGGATCGGAACGGATCTGTCATGTTTTTTCAGGCATCACGGAACGTAGATGAGGTGTGGCTGCTTCTGTCTGTATATATATATATATATATATATATATATTATAAATTAATTGATTTAAAATATGGTTATTTTCGCTACACAGTTCCAACCATGTTTCAAAAATAGAAGCTAAAAACCCCTAATTTTATTTTTGCAAATAAATTAAAAGCATTAGTTCTATTTCATCTTCAAGCGAATTTTAGGGGTTTTTAGCTTCTATTTTTGAAACATGGTTGGAACTGTGTAGCGAAAATAACCATATTTTAAATCAATTAATTTATAATATTAATGCTCTGTAAATTTACATTGAGCACTATTTTGTAAAAATAAAATATCTATAAGAACACCGGATTTTATATCTTACTGTTCTTTCTTTTTTTATATACATATATATATATATATATATATATATATATATATATATATATATATATATATAAAAGAAATATACAAACATACATATATATATTTATATAAATATATATATAAAAATATATATATATATATATATTAATATATATATATAAACAAATTATATAAATACAATATATTAAACACTATTGGACTCCAGTTTGAGTAATAAGTATGTATAATTACTCTCCAAACTTAACAGAAGAATCGTGATGAAATCGATCATAAACGAAAATCATCATTATTTAATCATTGCTAAGGATCAGAAGCTCATGGAGGATTGAAATTAAGTTCAAATATATATATATATATATATATATTATTCCAGGATCATTTTCCAACTTTTTAAAGATGATATTTGTCCTCTCTAATTTTCTAACTTTCTATCTTGGAGAATAAGGTTCCTCACAGGTTCCACGTACGATTTCATTTAAAAGTCATTTACCATTGCTCTTTGGACTGTCATAGCTTAAACTCCTCTCTCACCTGCCAAACGTCTTACGAATTGAGTTGGATATTTTTTAATTGATCTCTTTATCTCTCAGTTGAAATGATGATCCCTATTTCCGTTGTGACCTCCTGATCCCATTTCCCCCCTCTACTAATTCCTTCTTTTTTTAAACTTCGTTCTCTTGATGGTTCTTGAATGGACTTTGAAGATGAAAGCCAGAGTATGAATGTTGGTACCATTACTGAAGGTCTAAATGATCTTTTCCTCTCAGCACTGCTCATTTGGGAAGACAGACGGGCTGACACAAAACATTTTTAACCCGTTCTCTTTTTAGCTGAATAACACAAAAGGTTTTTCAGTGATTCTTATGACAAATTGTGTCAAGATGCCAAAACGTCTTATCTGAAAACTTGTGAAAAATAAAATCAATTACTTTAATGTTTTTTTTTTATATATATAAAGCATTTTGTGGGATGGACAATTATGCTGTTACACCCGGTATATATATATATATATATATATATATAGGGCTAATACAAATATAATATTTGTAACTTAGCTGATTCATGTGATATTCATAATTTGCGTTAAAAAAATTATATAAATACTATATTATAGCATAGAGAACCCAGTGTAGAAAATACCCAATACAGAACATAAAAGGTAATAATAATAAGTCTTTTTGCACGTACCCCTATTTTTTCTGCTACACAATCTTAAGACGGGGGTGAGGAACAATTTGAAGTATTTTTCTTTCATTTTTTTAATCATCCACCACTCCAATCAAGGCAATAAAGCCTCTAAGACACTAGGGGAATACTGAGTGTTAAAGAATTAGAAAACGAAAACATTACTAAGCAGCTAAAGACTGTGTAGAAACAAAAAACTGTTAGTTGTGCAAAATATAAAGGTACCTGCATAAAGAGATTTTGTTTTTATTGCTATATATATATATATATGTGTGTGTGTGTGTGTGTGCATTTGTGTGTGTGTGTATGTGTGCGTATGTGTACTTTTGTGTATGTGTGTGCATTTTATACTTACCGTGAGACATTCGATTTTACTTTTCTTGCAATAATTTGTAAATGTCATAAAACCCCTTTTTTCTGATGAAGGTGTCATTTCAAAAATGTAAATCTAATAATTTTCACACTGAGATATTATCGTTTGCATCCAAATTAGGCTCATAAAAATAAATAATTAAGAATATAAATTAACGCAGTTGATTAAATGCAGAAGCAGAAATTCGCTATTTTAACCCGGACCACACCAAGTGATCATGCTGGTATGATATCGTACAGTCGACCACCGAAACCAATAGCATCAGAACCGCCATCTTTCTCCCTCATTTCCTGCCGCCATTGCTTCATCTCGAGGAAAAGGTAACGAGCGTTGGGCGAGTTCGCGTGAGGAAAGACAGACGGAGGAGGTGCAGATGTACAGGGTGCGGTAGGAAGAGGTATGGAGGCGTGGGTTGCTGGTAGACGGCGCCGGTGTGTCTCCCGGTACATCTTGGCCCGCTATGCTGTCCTTTCCCGCCATCTTCTTTCCTTCTGTGTATGTATCTTTCATTCCGAGCCTCGTTTGGATTAAAAAATAATCAGCCCAAAAGAAAGAGCATCATCTGAAGCAACAACAACAACATCAACATCAACTGCGACAATAACAGCGAAAACAACAACAACGATAATAATAATAATAATAATAATAATAATAATTAAGTAAATTAAAATTATAGAATTAGGTAAGAGAAGGAAAGGAGGAAAAAATATATATTAGTATAAATAAGTATAACGATTAGTAATGGTATATAAAATCTGTAAAAAAAGAGGGAATAATAATAGTAATAATAATAGCAAGAACATAATGAAAGTGTATATGGCCAGAAGTAATAAATAATAATAACTAGAAAACTAGCACCACCACCACCACCACCACCACTACCAACAACAACAACAATAATAATAATATTGGCAAAAGAATAATGAAAGTGTATACGGCCAGAAGTAAAACATAATAATAATAACCACCACCACCAAGAACAACAACAACAACAACAATAATAATAATAATAATAATAATAATGGTAAGAATGTAATGAAAGTGTATACGGCCAGAAGAAATAAATAATAACAAATACCACCACCAACAACAACAACAACAAGAATAACAGTAACAATAACAGCAACAACAATAATAGCAAGAACATAATGAACGTGTTTACGGCAAGAAGTATTAAATGATAATACCCAGCAACAACAAGTTTAAAATTCAAAAAGAATAGAAACTACGCTAGCAAGAGCAATATCCAAATCAAATAGAACATGCGGCAGTGAGTGGTAGGTCATAGAGAAAACTTGTTGTCACTTGATCCTCAATGAAAGTGACAAACTATAGACGGGAAAACTCGATGAAGCAACAGCAGCAACAATAACAACAACAACAACAATAAATCAACGGAGTCTTGAGCGAAGTTAAAAAAAATGACTGACACCGCAAAAGATACTGGAAGAATGGCCGGTACCTTGTAGCGCTCCGAATCAATGCCTGACTCCTGCTGCCATGCTCTATCTTTCCGATCAGACCAAGAATGGAGTCTTGCTGCTATATCTGGACTGATGCTATCCAGTCCTTACTGTCCAGCCTTGACCGACTTCAAAAGAGGTTTTGTGCATGATGAATTATTCTCCATCCTGCAACCCTACAACCCACAGATGAAACGTTGCTAGCCTCTCTCTACTCTATCGCCATTAGTATGTTCAAACGAGCCATATAATTCAGATTTCCACAATTTGAATCCTCCATGCCAGGTACAAGGCGTGCCTTAACTCATTTCATTCCCTTCGTATTTCTTTGCTAAGGAGGATGTTCTAATCAGACAGCTTTTGCCCTAGAACTATCACTTTGTGGAACATACTCCCGAGGTGATGCTTCCCCGATCACTAAAATTATAACCTCTTCAAGTCTAGCCGATATCTATCCGACATATCCTCATAATATGAACTTCTTCCTTATTCTTCCTCTTTTATGTGGTACCTGAATGGCTCTTGGGTCTTGTAACAAGTGAACAATAATAAAAAAAAAAGTATCTGGGAGACCGTCGACAGAGAACTCAAAAGCATAAAATATGTAAATGACATTAATTATTAAAGTACCAAGAACTGTCCTGTTGGTTTTGCTCGGCAAAAAAAGAAACTTGAAAAATCAACGGTACTATTTCAAAAACAGAAATAATAATAACAATAATAATAATAATAATAATAATAATAATAATAAGAAGAAGAAGAAGAAGAAGAAGAAGAAGAAGAAGAAGAAGAAAGAAAGAAAGAAAGAAAGAAAGAAAGAAACAAAAAATAAAACAGATTTTTCGGGATTAAAAATCTGAAAGGATTTATTCTTGCTGCACAAGATCAATGCTTCCTAACGAGCAATTATCAAGAAAATATACCGAAAAATTACTTCCCCCTACACACATACACACAGGCACAAATGTAGATTCTGTGATGAATATCCAGAAACAATAAACCATTAACATCCACCGAATATAAGACTCGGTATGAAAGGGTGGGCCAGTATCTGTATTGGAAAATCTGGAACTTTTGTGGCGAGAAAACTGAAGAAGGTCTGGCATGAACATCACTGAAACCCGGTTACAGACCTAAGAAAGACCTATGATAATTTTATGAGATTTTACAATACAAGCAGATAGAACAATGAAAGTTAATTGCCCAGACATAGTTATCAAAAACCATAAAAACAGAATGTGTTTTCTTGTTGACATGGCAATTCCTGCAACCTGTAATGGAGTTTTGAAGATCTTTAAAAAAAAATGATCAAAATGATCCAGAAATGAGAAATGTCGCACAAGGACATTAATAAATCTTGTGAGGAAGCACGGTGGAGTAGTGGTTAGAGGCTCGGATTGAGGAATCGGAGAGCCGAGTTCGAATTCCAGTCGAATCCGTTACATTCACTTACGTGCTAATGGGAAAGGTATGCATCTTCCCCCTAGCTATGAGTAAATAGCAGGTCAGACCGGGTTCTGTAGCCTTGGAGATCAACTGGTCTACCGCAGAAAGTAATGGTATCCTATTGCGGGAAAATCTGCCTCATCAGTCGTGATCGCCTAAGCGTGTATCGCACATAACTGACTGAGTTACGATTGTGGCCCTGAATTTGATTGGAAACTGTTCTGATATATATATATATATTTTTAAAAGGGGGATCTCTGGCGGTCCAAGTCTTAATAAAATGCAAAGAAAAGCGCAACTCCCGTCTATGTAAAATGTTTGCTTTAAATTTTATTTTGTATTTTATTTTTATTTTTATTTTTTTTACACAAATGTACAGTGAAAAATGTCATGATATCATTTTGTGACTTAAGGTCTTTGACACCCGGAAGGAAATGTGTATACAAGAGAAAGGAAATATTAATTATTATTAATAAGAAAATTTTGGAGAATCAGTGTGGCATGTTGCCAACAAATGCACAAAGCTGAAACATACGAAAAACATAAGGAAACGTGATAATGGAATTATGGATTGAAGAGAAGAGAAACATAATATGAACCAATGTCAGAAGATGTCATTGAAAATGACAAGTGCAAAATTTTGTACGATGTCATCATCTTGTGTAACAATGAATATTGCACCGAAAATCAGACATTGTGATGATAGATAAATATGAAAGAACATCCATCATCAGAGATATTTCATAGATGAAAGAACATACATCAGTGATATTGCATTAACATGTACATGAAAAAACATGCATCATCAGAGATATTGCATGTCCCTATACACGAAAGAACATGCATCGTCAGAGATATTGTATGTCCCTATACACGAAAGAACATGCACCATCAGAGATATTGTATGTCCCTATACACGAAAGAACATGCATCGTCAGAGATATTGCATGTCCCTGTACACGAAAGAACATGCATCATCAGAGATATTGCATGTCCCTATACATGAAAGAACATGCATCGTCAGAGATATTGCATGTCCTTATACATGAAAGAACATGCATCGTCAGAGATATTGCATGTCCCTATACATGAAAGAACATGCATCATCAGTGATATTGTATGTCCCTATACATGAAAGAACATGCATCGTCAGTGATATTGTATGTCCCTATACGCGAAAGAACATGCATCGTCAGAGATATTGCATGTCCCTATACATGAAAGAACATGCATCATCAGAGATATTGCATGTCCCTATACATGAAAGAACATGCATCGTCAGTGATATTGTATGTCCCTATACGCGAAAGAACATGCATCGTCAGAGATATTGCATGTCCCTATACATGAAAGAACATGCATCATCAGTGATATTGTATGTCCCTATACACGAAAGAACATGCATCGTCAGAGATATTGTATGTCCCTATACACGAAAGAACATGCACCATCAGAGATATTGTATGTCCCTATACACGAAAGAACATGCATCGTCAGAGATATTGCATGTCCCTATACATGAAAGAACATGCATCATCAGTGATATTGTATGTCACTATACACGAAAGAACATGCATCGTCAGTGATATTGCATGTCCCTATACATGAAAGAACATGCATCGTCAGTGATATTGTATGTCCCTATACACGAAAGGACATGCATCGTCAGAGATATTGCATGTCCCTATACATGAAAGAACATGCATCGTCAGAGATATTGCATGTCCTTATACATGAAAGAACATGCATCGTCAGAGATATTGCATGTCCCTATACATGAAAGAACATGCATCGTCAGTGATATTGCATGTCCCTATACATGAAAGAACATGCATCGTCAGTGATATTGTATGTCCCTATACGCGAAAGAACATGCATCGTCAGAGATATTGTATGTCCCTATACATGAAAGAACATGCATCGTCAGAGATATTGCATGTCCCTATACATGAAAGAACATGCATCATCAGTGATATTGTATGTCCCTATACACGAAAGAACATGCATCGTCAGTGATATTGCATGTACCTATACACGAAAGAACATGCATCGTCAGTGATATTGCATGTCCCTATACATGAAAGAACATGCATCGTCAGTGATATTGCATGTCCCTATACATGAAAGAACATGCATCGTCAGTGATATTGTATGTCCCTATACATGAAAGAACATGCATCGTCAGTGATATTGCATGTCCTTATACATGAAAGAACATGCATCGTCAGAGATATTGCATGTCCCTATACATGAAAGAACATGCATCGTCAGTGATATTGCATGTCCCTATACATGAAAGAACATGCATCGTCAGAGATATTGCATGTCCCTATACACGAAAGAACATGCATCATCAGTGATATTGTATGTCCCTATACATGAAAGAACATGCATCGTCAGTGATATTGTATGTCCCTATACGCGAAAGAACATGCATCGTCAGAGATATTGCATGTCCCTATACATGAAAGAACATGCATCGTCTGAGATATTGCATGTCCCTATACACGAAAGAACATGCATCGTCAGAGATATTGCAT